AGGTAGGTTTTAAAGGTAGAAAAGCCAACTGGCTGCTCTCCGGGGCTCTACGTTTAAACCTAACAACTACCACAGCCAGACTCATCCATTGGATAACCAGACAAGGAAGCGTGATCCATCACTACACTGCTCTAGAGTACGGTGTCGCATGGTTCACGCCATGCAGCCGATGCTTTGCATTGCATTGGGTGAGAATTAGATGCAGCTTCATCGCCATGGAAACCCATTCCATGAAGTTTTCAGTGCACTGTTCTATAACTAATTTGAAGGCCATATGAAGTTTGGAGGTCTGTTATGATTTGCTGTAAGAAAATTGGCCAGCACCTTAGCATCCCACTCTGTAATTTTAACGAACCTACCACTTCATGGCTGAGTTGCTGTTGTTCGCAGTTGCTTCCACTTTGCTATAATACCACTAACAATTGACTGAAATGTTTTGTAGCAAAGAAGTTTTACGACTGGACTTATGTTGCTGGTGGCATCTTATCACGAAACAACTCATGAATTCACTGAGCTCCTGAGAGCGATCCATTCTTTCAAAGATGTTTGTAGAAGCAGTCTACGTGCCTAGGTGCTTGATTTTATGCACCTGTGGCCATGTAAGTGATTAGAACATCTGAATTCAATGATTTGTATGGGTGAGGAATAGTGATGTGTCGGTCGCGAACGAAATGGCTCTTGGAGCCGGATCTTTTGACGTGAATGGCGCGAGCCGGCTCCTTATTGGGAGCCGTGGGGTGTTTTTTCTTTCTCTCACCCTCTCCCTCAGACTTTTTTTCCGCTTCACTCCACACGCAAGCCCTGTGCTTTGCGCTGGGAGGAGGGGGGAGGGGCGGTAGTTACACTGGCAGTACCACAGGAACAGAGCAAGAGGGAGAGAGAGAGAAAGAGAGCCAGGGACAACAACGCCACATTAGAAAGGTATAGTAATCATCCACAACTATTTTCAGTTGCGGATGATAAAGGATTCAGAAAGTTTATTCATGCAGGTCCATATGACAGAGAATGTGCATCTTCTTTTTGTTTTCATATTGTAATTTCTATTTAATTGTGTTGTGGTTTGCAGTGTTTTGTGTTGTTTCACTTTAAATTTGTTAAAAGGAAAAAGCTGAAAATTTAAATAGTTAAAAGTTGAAATGTGAATAGTTGGTTTTTGTATTATATGATTTATTTATTACATTTTATGTGGAGTGAATAAATAAAAGTATATTTACGGTGGCCCCTAGAGACAAAGCACTACAAAACTCCAAAACATGTACAAAAGACAACAGAAGTGCTCCAGGATGCTAGGGCAGTGTTGAGCTTTTGTTACCTAGTGGCTACACAAGCCAGGAAGTACCAACGACCGGATTTGGTGTGTGGTAGTAACAGGTAAATGAACATTTTTTTTAAATTATTTGAATATATATGAGTGCTTGTGTATAAATACACAAACAATACACATATGCTTTCAATTGTGTAATTTAAGTGATCTAGGTAGCTCTGTTTTGGAAGTTCAGTTAACGCTAGAAATGTGTTTTGGAGTTTGTACGTGCTTTGTCTCTAGGGGCCACCGCATATATTTATATATAAACATATATAAATAAAACCACTTTTTTTACATTAGTAATTCCTTTTGTGCATAATTTTATATTATTGTTAATAATAAATTAATTAAAGCAACAAAACAACCTGAAGAGCCGGTTCGGAGCCGAAAGAGCCGGCTCTTTACGGTCGAGCTCACTAAAAAGAGCCGGAAAATCCCATCACTACTAAGTTAGAATTACCCTTAAGCCCCCTCCTCGATTCAGAGATGGCTTTTCCCTTTTCTTGTAAAAATGGACAACCTTGCCTAAGAGAAAACCTGTAGTGATCCTGTACGTGTCAGGAGTATCGGACAGTTGAGACGCATTTTTTCTAAACACCGGGTCTCTGTGGCTTTTAAACCCCAAACACGCTGCGCCAAAAATTGGTCCACCCCAAGGATCGGGTCCCCCGACACAAACAGAGTAAATAGTGTACCTGTTAATGCCAGGAGGATTGCCAGGATTTATACATCGGGGAAACCAAACAACCTCTGGCGAAGCGGATGGCACAACACAGAAGAGCTACCTCGTCAGGCCAGGACTCTGCAGTGTATTTAATGGAAATCTATTAATGGAAAAAAATTCTTTTCAATCTATTCTATTCTACCTGGATCTGTGTGAGAAAGTAATTCTGCTCTGTACCAGAAAATCCTGAAGTAGAATGTTTGGCCATCAGTTTGTGCTGATCTATGTAGTTCATGCTAAGTTTAAGTAACCAACTTCATCAGTGTCTCTCTTTCTTCCAACTCTACAGACATATTCTCAGCAGATTTATGTGGCCCCAATAAGAAACTGGACGTGGAAAGTTGTCAGTGTGTGTGCCACCAAACTCAAGACTGTGGTCCTAACCATCACTTGAATCGCAATACCTGCCAGTGTGTTTGCAACTTGCCACCTAGCCTATCCTGCCCACAGAGCTACGTATTCAACAAGGAGACCTGTCAGTGCACATGCAACAAGACATGCCCGAGACATCAGCCTCTCAACAAGACAAAGTGCTCCTGTGAATGCAATGAGTCGCCAAATAAGTGCTTCCTGAAAGGAAGGAGGTTCCACCAAGCCACATGCAGGTAAGGAAAGATGTCAGAAGTTCACTACCTTCCATCTGCCATTTACTCATTTAAAATAACATTGTTGGCAAGAATAATGGGATTGGAATAGATAGAACCTTGTCTTCAATCAACAGCGTGAATATTAAATCTAAGCTTATACATAACGGATTAGATACACCAAAGACTGTTATTAGCCACGTTAAATCGACGTCTTTTACAGTTTTAGACGCATAGATTTTGTCACAGTTTGCCGAGGCAAACTGTGTGGAGTGTGAAGAGTGGACCCAGGTACAGACATTCTAAAACTCAAACTTAACTGATGATTAGCTGTTTATTAAGGCAGACAGAACTGTACAAAATAAAAGGGCAAAAACAATGCAAACTAAGCAATAACCTAAACTGGGTAAACTAGAAAGGAAGCACGAACTATGAAAAACCCTGGCAAACAGAAAAACAAACAAAACTCTAAACATGGCAATGATGATGAGCATATATATATGAAAACCTGAACGCAGGACGTGGTATGGAAACAACACAGATGACCCGACAAAGACTGAATGAGAACGCACAGACTAAAGTCCAAACAAAGTCCAAAACAAAATGTCCACCAGAAGCACAGGGGACAGTCCAAAGCTCAGTTCAGTGGGCCAACCCGGAGGACAGCAGCACCAGAGTCTAAACAGTTCTGGCGGCCGACCGTGCGGATGGCAGCTGTGTGGAAACAGTTCTGGCGGCCAACCGTGCGGGCGGCAGCGGCGTGGAAACAGTTCTGGCGGCCGACCGTGCGGACGGCAACGGCGGCGAGGAAACAGTTCTGGGGGCCGACCGTGCGGACGGCAACGGCGGCATGGAGCAAACAGTTCCGGAGGTCGACAGCACAGCAGGTCACAGTTCATCAGTTCCGGCCGACCGTGCGGACGGCAGCAACGTCCAGCTGGTGGCCCGGAAAGTGGCCGGCAATTCCGAGGTGCAGAAGCTGGACCAGGCGGTGCAGAAGCTGGACTAGGCGACGGAGCCGCATGTGGCGTGGCAGGTGGCTGGACGGGCTCCTCGAGCCCTGCAG